ACATGTCTTAATTTTCTCATGAACACCACAGGGAAAGAGGAAATTGGATGACATACAGTTAATATCATTTGAATAACAAAATAAATGTGACCTCCTCCTCTATCCTAACCTGATGAAGGGGCGGCATTGACTATAGTTATCAATTAACACTACAAACCGGGGGAGTGTCTCCTCCTTGTTCTTTGGACAAAGGTGTTAAGCTGGCGAGACCCATGGATTCAGATTCTCTCCCAAGACAAGGACTGTGATGTAATCATTAAAAGTCTACCTAGATGGAAATGAGAATAACTCAATGGATAAAAAAAAATCAAGGTGAGTTAAAAGAAAGTTGGGTTCAGTTACAGAAACAAATCATTTCCACTAGTCACTCCAGACAAGGAGACAAATCAGGATTTTATTTGATATTAAAAAGAGTTTAATATTAAAAATAGTTTTCTTCATATTTTTATACACTTTAGAGTCTTCCCATTGCTTATTCATGTGCTGCTTTATTTTATCCTGAGAACAATGTGTGAGGCAGGTGGAAACAAGTGCTCATATTACTGCCAGGATTTTTTCAGACATAACAATTATGACCCCCCTCAAAATGTCACTGAACTGCTTAGGGTTCCAGAAGAGCAAGTGTGGCTGTACTGGTCTTTATCCCAGTCTGTTTATTTTGAATACCATGTTCTCCACCCTAGCCTCCCCAGTACCTTTACTTGTACAGCCTCTCAACCAAGCCACATCTGTCCTGGTCAAAGGGGGCCTGGGAGGTGGGCAACAGAGCAACTCAGATACTCACTGCCCACATCTCTTGGCTGAGATGAGTTGCCTGGTATTGTAGCCACCTAGTAATGACCTGTTCACCTCAGCCTAGTTCTTATTCTTGTTGGAATAAGGTAGAAAGCATCACAGAAGAGAAACTGGAGGTCACAGAGCATACAACTAGGAGATGCACAATTTTGTGGGAACAGTACCAAGAAGATGTCCAGCATATACTGTGAAACCTTGGGCAAGTTACTTGCCTTCTCTGTCCTCAATTCCTTTATCAGTAGGATAATGAAAGTCCCTACTTCAAAGACATGCAGTACAGGTGAATTGACTTAAAAGGTATAATGTGCTCAAAGCGATGCCTAGTAGACTGTTAAGTGCCAGGAAAAAGTAAGAGACACAGACACAGAATGGTGTCAAGGAAAGAAGTCTTGAGCAAGAATCAGAAAAAGGAAGGAATCTGGTCTGGATAGATGTGACCAAAACCAAGCTGTTTTACCTCTGGGCCTCCTATTTTCTCCTCTGTGAGTAGGAGAAAACACTCTCTATCTAAACTGTTGTAGAGAAGGGCTGGGAGTGCTTTGTAAAGTACTGGTCAAATGGTAAACTATGTTGGTAATTACCTTCTTTTTGAGGGACTTGTACTACACAGTGCAATTTTAGGACTATGAAGCAGAAAATGTCAGAAAGTGATTTATATAAAATGTAAATACAACCTGCTCACCCCTTCTTAAAATTCCTTCCATCACACTTAGAAAAAAAAAAGAAAAGAAAAGAAAAGAAAGAAATGTCATCATCTGCCCCATCTCGAGCTGTCAAAATCCCAAGCATACAGAGTATTCCAATAATTGCCACCATTTATCAAGTCTTCATTCTGCGCTTGGCCCAGGGAGTTGCATGGATTACCTCATTTAATCCCCATGGAAATGCAGTAAGTATAACTAACCTAGTTTTACAGATGAGGAATCTAAAACTTACAGAGGTTAAATCATCTGTCCCATGTCCCATGTCAATCTGTTCCATGTCCCATGTCACCCAGCAAATAGTGAAGCCGATTCAGTCCAAGTCCCTGTGGTCACAAGGACCGTGACTTTAACCAACCACTCTACATGATCCCTCCATTAAAAGGAATCTCTCCCGGGGCACCTGGGTGGCTCAGTTGGTTAAATGTCCTCCTTCGGCTCAGGTCATGATCCCAGGGTCTTGGGATCTAGCCCCACGTTGGGCTTCCTGCTCAGCAGGGAGTCTACTTCTCCCTCCCCTTCCCCCTCCCCTCACTCTCTCTTTCAAATAAATAAATAGTATTAAAAAAAAAAAAAGACTCTGCCCCTACTCAGAGATGATACAGTACTTTGCTCAGATTCTTTTCAGAGGAATACAATTCTATCTTGAGTTACGATTTTTTGTGTGCATACCACAGCTTAACTGCTGGTTTACAGGCGTCCCAGAAATGGAGGATAAGCTTTTGCATCTTTGAACATACCCTAGTTGCCAAGCAGGTGTCTGGGTATGGGTGGGCTAGCAGCAGGACAAAGGGCCAAGAACAAAGTCTGAACTTGCTTGAGCTGCCTTACCTGAGAATGAGGTGAAAAATCCCTACTTCACAGGTTTGCTGTGAAGGTTGTCAAATGACAAAAGTCATGTGATTTAATAACAAGCCTGATACCCTTTATTCAGGGGACGACAATGCACCACAGATTGGAGGAGTTCATTGCCTCACAAGCAGAGGGATTTTGGGTGAGAGCAAGTTTCACTGAGCATTAGAAGCAGCAGCATGGATACAAGGCATGACTGACGAGGAGGCCAGGGATTTCCTTATTGGGCTAGCAGGGCCTATTTTCTAGGGTAAGTTAAGCTAGCTAGAGCTGAGCTGGAGGATTACGACTGGTGGGTGGTAGGTTTCCCTGCCAGTGAAATGTTTCCACTAAGTGTAAGCTGGCCGGGGTTTAGATTTGTGATATGGGCCGGGTTACTGGGGTGGTCACATCATTTTGTGGTTCCAGATATTACCTTTGTCAGGGCCTATTAAGAGAACCACTTTAAAAGCACTGTGCAGGGGCGCCTGGGTAGCTCAGTGGGTTAAAGCCTCTGCTTTAGGCTCTGGTCATGGTCCCAGGGTCCTGGGGATCGGAGCCTGCTTCCCTCTCTCTCTGCCTGCCTCTCTGCCTACTTGTGATCTCTGTCTGTCAAATAAATAAAATCATTAAAATAAATAAACAAATAAATAAATAAAAGCGCTGTGCAAACCACAGAGAGCTACCAACGTGGTCACAGTTCAAGTTGATTAAAGTCATACTGAAATCAGAGTGGTTCGTGGGATACACTGGCTCTTCACCAAGAAGAGGTAGAGGCCATAGGGATATAAACACAGATGGAGAACCACCCGGACTACCTGCCCAATTTCCCTGGCAGGCAGAATTTTAAGGAAAGCAATGAACAAATAAGTAATAGTGAAGAAGGAGAAAAAGGTGCAACGGAAGACAAAAGTACCAAGAAGGGGTTACAGTGCTAAGGTAATTGACCACCACCACCATCACCACCACCACCCCCACAACCCCCCCACCCCCCCACCCCCTGCCACAGCAGGTGGGCGGTCTGCCCATAACTTCCCTGTGCCCCTACCTGATCTGCACCTACTGCTGGGTTATGGAGGAGCGATTTTTGTAGTTCATCTGAAGCCTCCCCCAACCAGAAAGTGCTACACAGGTGTGAGGTGCTGGTGCATCACAATGGCCTCCTCAGTGGGAAAGCCCAGCCTGGGTCAGCCCCTTCCAGGAGGCCTGTCAGAACACCAAGGTCATTCATGGGAGATGGGATTTACTATCAGGGATTCAAGCTCTGCTGTGGCATATTTTAGTTCTAGAAACAACTCCAGGTGACTTCTGTGAGAGACTGACTATATTCATCAATTCTTAATAAAGTTTCCACCAGGTTTACCAAGGGAGCTTTAAATGGGGAGAACAGCTTGTTTCCTTGACAGCAAAAATCGACAGGTTTTTTTTTTTTTAAATCTTTTATTGTCTGTCAAGAATTCCATCGAAATAATAGATGCCTAAAAACACAAGGAAACAGCATGCGGGTTTTTTTGTTTTTTGTTTTTTTTGTTGTTGTTGTTGTTGTTTTTCCTTCCAACTTTGGGGTTTGCTTACAAGGAGACTGACAAGAGGAAGGAGGAGGGTTTCAGAAATGTGAGCGGTGGGCTACAAAGACCCTCAGAGCCAATGGGGGACAAGTTATGACTCAAAACTTGCCTTTCCCCAAGTCAAGGAAGTGTTTGCAGCCTTAGGACCAGCAGCTTGCTGGGGAAGCGGGAAGGCAGCATTTCAAAACAAAAAGAGACAACAAACAAACACTGCAGAAAGGGCTAAACCCCGGCCCAGGCAAGCAGCTCAGGACCCGGCCCTGATTTCGGCCGCTCTGGGGGCTCCGTGCAGCCCCCAGAGCAGCGCCCCGCCGCGCGGGCCTTCGGCCCAGGCCCAGGGGCTTCCTCCAGGCCGGGGTTTCTGTCGTGGGCGCGGGGTCTGCGGCTGGCTCGCCCCGGAGCTGTGAACTCCTGCGTTCGCCAGGCCCATCGATTATTAATGAGCCATCGTTAAAAGACTTGCCGGGGGAGGCTCCAACTGATTTTCCCACTCTATGGAGAAAACAAAGAGGATAGAGGTGGAAGGGGGACTGGGAGGGGGAGTGCGGGGCGCACTGGGGAACTAGGCGAAAATGCAGCTTTCAAGTTCAAAAAGCTTATTTTGCATGAGAAAACACACGGGGACGCGAGGATTGGTCGTAGGCATCCCCCCTCCCCCATCTTTAATATCTGCTCAGCAAAAAGTCAGGATTAAAACCATCGGCCTCTGGGACACCTTAAAAAAAAAAAAAAATCCCTTTCTTCTGTGTCCTTATGTACAAGGGTAAAGACCAGCTTTCTCTGTCCAAGTCGGGAGTGCTGAAGGGAGAGCAAGCAGTGGGGCGCCCAGCCGGAGCCTCTGTCCTCTGCCTGTTCCCGATTCCATGGCCTGAGGCGATGGTTTGCATTTTTAGGACAACAGCCGGCTATCGGCAAGCAGGAGACCTCTCGTCAGGCTTCATTACTGCACACAAAATGACACGATCGAGCCTGTGGTCACAACTGCGCTTATGAAGCGCTGCGAAGCCATTGCCTCTCCCTGCAAACCCAACCGTCTTCCTCTGCCCACACCCACCCGGACGGATGGCCCCAAACCTGAGCTCTGCTTCTGTGCGCGGCGCCTTACCTTGGGACCCAGCGCTCCCGCGGGATATCGGGCTTTACCACCTGGCTTGCTGGTTAGCTGATACATTTCCAGAGAGACAGAGAAGAGCTGTATTTGCCCACTGAACTTTGTAATTCAACACGTTCTTTCCCTTCCTTCCCCTCTGGTATGTTTCCTGAGGCAGAGGCTCCGTTGTACCATCTCCTGATCTAGACAGGACGCTTTAGTGGGCAATGGGAGCACAGCTGGGAATACAGACCCCTCTCCTTACAAGGTCATTTACGCCTTTTTAGTTACCTCCCTAATTGCAATAGTCTTATGTGTCTGGCCTAAATCATAACTGTCCTCTTAAAAAGAAATCCCACAGCCAACAGCTGCAGATATCACCATTAAATCCTATCTATTAAAAGCTAATGCCACTCAATGTATTTTTTTCAACAAGGGTGAGTCTGTTTGCATCAGCCAGAGAAGGGGTCATGATGGTTTGGTCAGTGCTGACACACCAAGCATTCTAAACCAATATACCGGAATAGGGATATGCAAGCACACGATTGCTGATTATGAGGTTACTGATTATTCTGAAGAAATGATTTCAGCGGAAAACATTTGTGTCATCATCCAGGCAGATTGAACTTGATGGTGATTTTTTCTGAAGCCTCTGGCACTCAAGTTATGTGGAAGATGGCTAGGTTAACCCAACATCTGAATCTTTAAAAAAAGCCACCAGGAAAGATGTGATGTGGGACACTAAAAGCAAATAGCAGGCCACTGGCTAACAGTGAGGTATGGAAAGAGAGATCATCTTATTACCTAGCAGCTTCTTCTAACCTATTCCATTAGTTAGGGTATGGGCTCAGTCACTGTAGCAATGAGACCTCACATAATTATGGCTTACATATGCCAGAGTTTATTTTTCCTTTGCTGAGCAGTCCTGAGATGAGCTGGCCAGATTGACAAAGTGTGCTACAAAGTGTGCTCCACAAAATTACTCGAATCCAAGTTCCTTCTATCTCATTGATTTAGCAGCCCCTGTGGCAAGAGTTCTCAAACGTCAATGCAGAGGTTGGTAAAGTTTTTCTGTAAAGGACCATATAACTAATATCTTCATCTTTGCAACCCACAGAGAGTGTCAATTAAATATTCTTTGTTTTTATTTGTTGTTGTTGTTGTTGTGGCAACTCTTTAAAAACATGGAAACCATTCTTAGCTCACCAGCTGTACAAAATCAGGCCCCCCCGGTGATTTTGGCCCATGGCCATAGTTTGTCAGTCCCTGCTTTAGGGCATCGGAATCACCTGGAGGGCTTTCTGAGCCCACTCCAAAGTTTCTGATTCATTGGTCAGGGTGGGATCCAAGACTCTGCATTTCTAACAAGTTCTTATGAGATATTGATGCTGACGTTTTGGAGACCACACGTTGGGAACCACAGCCCTGCACGGTTCCTTTGTCTTTATGGGCAAAGCAGAAGCTCATGCACATGCGCGTTCCAGCAAGAAAAGGAAAAGAGTCAAGAAAAGGAAAAGAGTCAAGAAAAAGTCTCTTTAAGTATGTGACCAGGAAATTGTACACATCACTTTCACTTGCATCCCATTGGCCCAATCTTCATCATGTGGCCATGAATGGCTGCAAAGAAAGTTGGGAAATGTGAACTATAAATGGATGTTCGTGAGTCCTGTTACAACTCGAGAGGTTTTATTATTAAGAGGAAGAAGGGGAGAGTTTGTTTTGCAGAACAGCAGATTCTGCCACACCAGGAAAGTAAGGACCAGTGGAGGTTCTTCCATACTTTTCACGTTGACCTTATAGTGTTTACCCTGGGATTTAGTGCAGCATCTCTCTGCTATGTTCACAAACAAAAAGTAAACTCACGGCGTACTATAGGGACCTTAAAGAATATATAGAGGACAGCTACCACAAGGAGTTATTTAAGCTCCCATTTTCTAAATAAGTATCTGTTCTGGATGCCCCTCCTGATGCTAAAAATTCTTTAAACTTAAGGTCCCTCAGGATTTTTAGACTTAATGAGTTTCTAGAAATTTACCAATGATTCGTGGCAAATAACAATAATAATAATAATAAACCTATGTCCTATTATATAACAAATCAATACCAGATAATTTACGTATAAATAAAAAATAATCATGAGATTACCTTATTAAATTTAAAAAAATATATTTTTGGAATATTTATGTAATCCTGGTGCAGGAAAACACTGTTGATGATGGTAATGAGACTACCAATAAGGTGAAGAATGTCTGATTGACTATAATAAGATAAAATAAGTCATATTCCTAAATATTTCCTCCAAAAAAAATTAAAACCACAAAGACCAACAGACATATGGGAGAAAAATCCTGGCTAAAAATGTAACAATAAAAAATGCTAATACTCTAACCAGGGGACATGTAAGGCAATTCTCAAAAGAGAAATGTACACATAACCAAGGAACATGGGAATATACACTTATTTTCAATTATAAACAAATATATTAAACAAAAATGGTAATTTATTTTTTCAAATTAGTCAATGATATAGGGAAAAGGTCACACTAATTCTATGCTAATAGAGATACATTTGCAGTTTGGTTATATTCATCAAAAATTTTAAACATGTATTATTGTGGACAGATAGTTAGAATGGCCCCCATGACCCTGCTTCTGGGTGTTCATGTCCTTATGTCATGCCCTCCCCTGCAGTATCATGGGATGTGTAACTTATGCCAGCCAATAGAATTAATACAGAAAGGGGGAAAAAAAAGATACACATGATTACGTGATTATGTTACATAAGGTTTTAACACTTGTCTTGCTGGTGTATGTTTCTCTTGTTGGCTTGAAGTAGCAAACTACCATGTTGGAGCAGCCTCTGTTAGGAGGCCACCTGGCAGTGAACTTTCAGCTAACTCTAGGAGGTGAAGGCACCGCACCCTCTAGCCTATAGCAAACAAGGGCTTTTGGTCCTTCTGCTGCAAGGAAATGGATTCTTCTAACAACCAGAGTTAGTTTGCATGTAGATGCCTCCCAGTATGGCCTCAAGTGAGATCACAACCCCCATTGGTGCTTGACATCTTGATTGGTGCCTTAATGATGGATCAGATAAGTGGCATCCACAGTCTTGACCCACAGCAATTGCTACCATGAAAGTGTGTTGTTTTAAGCTAAGTTTGAGATAATTTGTTATGCAACAAAATATACTAATATGTGTATATTAACCCCCAAATCCTGCTTAGCCACAAGGATACTACTCATTATATCATCTTATAGTTATGAAAAATTAGAAACAACTATATTCAAAAACAGAAAATTTGTCAAATTATGGAAAATCCATACAAAGGAATATAATTCAGCTAGCAAAGACTGCAATGAAAATAAATACATATTTTTAAAGAAAACTGTTTTAAATACAAATGAAAATGTAGTTTCTAAACCAACTTGCATAATCAATTCCCACTTTAAATTTTTAAAGGTTTATGCATGTATAGAATATAGTGCTTAAAGTTACATACCCAAATGTTAATAATAGTTTTCTCTGAGAGGTAGAATTATAGATTTTTTTTATTATAAGACATATATTTTTACAGTTTTCAATACTAAACATTTCACGTCTTTGCAAAACAACCAGAACCTAAAAATGAATTTTAAATGCAAAATGAAGGGGAGGAAAGAGTCCCAGCTCCATGAAAAGAAAAGGTTAAAGTCCAATGCAAATGCTAGTTATTTATGGTTATTAAATATAAGATGCATATGTCTCCAGATGCTAAGAATAATGACTACAATTTTTGAGCATTTACAATGAACCAGGCACGTGCTAAAAATTTAGAGTGTATTTGCTTCTTGAATCGTGGATAAAAGGTTAGATTTATCCCTTGTGTTCACAGAGAAGGGCAGCCCATATCCTAGGCATTCTGCTACTCTTACCTCTACTTTACCCCACTCGGTAAGATAGTTAACTAGAGAGGCACATCATGACCAAGAGCAAAGGGATCATTGGTTACCCAGGACCTGGGTCAACTCCCTTAAATGTGGTCTGGGCACTGGTCCCAAATCAGGCAACTAGTTTTGCGATTGCACAGCAGTTCTCAAAACCTTGCAGTTTGGGTTCCAATGAGCCAGAGAGACGTTCTTTATTTGTTGTGGAGTCTACCACAAAAATAGAAGAGGCCCCTACCGCACACTTTCCCGTTGAATGACTGAAAACAACAGTTGCTCTTACAGATGCATGGAAAGAGCAAAGATATTTCAGTAGGCTTGAGGACAAGCTAAAAATTACCAGCTCCTCAGGAATTACTCATTCTGCTAGAGAACAATTGAAGGTTAGCTCTTCCCAAAAATCTATCTCACTTTGCAAACTGAAGTTAGTCTTGATTTAACAGAACTAGGCAGTCATGTAACATTTAGACCTCAGTTGTCCTCCCCATAAATTGAATTTCTGTTATTTTCCTTAATTAGAGGCTAGTCAGGATGATCTCTTGGTTCCTATCAAATTGATGGTATGTGATTCTGAAACAGATTTCTTCATCCAGGTGTTTTATTAAAACTTTTTTTAAAGAAGTCTGTAAGACATATCTATAACACTGACTCAATGAATGAGTAAAGCTTTCAGAAAGATTCATATATAGCAACTTTGGGCTTACCAAAAGCCCTTGTACAGGATTTCCTCTTAATGAACTCTACATGTTTCCAGTACAATGTTTTCAGCTGACCTCCCAGTAGAGTTCCATGGTCCTGCGGCTTGAAGGCAAGTTCCCTGCTCTTCCATAAGAGCAAGGGAACCAAAAACACCTGCTCTTTGATAGATTGACCACAGAGAATCAGTTCTTAGGAAGGTCACTTTTATTGCTTTAAGTCAGTCTAAAGATTTTCTGTCTGAGAAAGTACAGCAATGACATCTGTTCATTCTTCAACATAGACCGGCCCTTTACCCATGATTTTTCAATATTTAAACAAACAGCCAAAACAAAGCTGTGCATCAGTGTTAACCTTGTAAACTTAAAAGTCTGCACCTGTACAATTAGTAATTAGCATATTCAGTAACAAAGCTGGTAGGTAACGGGTGACATTCACACCTCTTAATTGGTGTGATTAGCAGTCCTTTTGTTGTCAACCATTAGCAGCTCTCCTCCAGTGTAAAATGCCACAGGTAAAGGGACATTGGTGAAGGGAGGAGTGAAGGGGGGAAGGTGAGAGTGAATAAAA